GTACAGAGAAAATATCCCTGTGAGGTGTAAGCGGTCTTGACTTTTCATCTATTCTAGGTTGTTTATAAAAATCCTTATTTGAAAGGTGCTTTTTCTTCAGTTTGTGGGGCCCCTCTAAAATGCACATGTTTCTTTACTTTGCTAGGAGAGTAGTGCTTTCGAGTTAACTTCCACTTGTTAAGTTTATGGCCCACAATTAATTCGAAGTGTAACTGTAGCAGGACTTTTCTGAAAACTCGGTTTCCTTGGTTGAGTAAAGTGTTTCGGAAGGTTTTTGTTTTCTTTAAAACAGAGGGCTTTTTCTTTTTTCTTTTTTTTTTTTAAACATTCTTCTAGAAAGTTTTGGAAATCAGTTTTTATTTTAGGAAAAAGCTCTCTGAAGATATTTTAAAGGAGATCCTGAATTGAGAAGGCTGGGCACCGTAATGCTTGGAGGTCAGACCAATCAGGAAATGGAAACAGGATGACTGGGGACTTAGAGCCTCTTTTGTGACCTGGTTTGGTATACTGTGGTTCGTTAAGTTCAGTTTCCCTATTACATATGCAGGTGAACATCAAAAAGGAAATGGATAAGAGTAATCGCTATTTTATTTTTTCCAAGTATAGGTGAATTACTTAGTGTTCATGTTGATGTTCAGTGGAATGTTCTCTAGAATTGCACTGAAAAGCATCTGAACATGAGGCATAAGGGTTCTTTGGGCAGTACTTGTTTTATCATTCTTTTTAGTCTTTATATGTTAGATGTGTTTTTTAGCATAATAAATAATTTACAATAGTTATGTGTTTGCTGAGTTTGTTTCCAGTTCCACTAACATAATTTGAGCACCTAATATGTTGTGATGATGCAAAAAGCTCTTCAAGGAGTTTGTGAAATAGCTGGAGAAGATACATAGCCCAAGAAACTATGTTGCTAAGCATATTGCTAAGCATTTTATAATAAAGAAACAGGAAAAGTGGCATTTGTGGAGATGGTGGCATTGAATTGTACTTAGGCATTGGGACTTAACAAAAACAACTTTTTTTTTTGAGACAGAGTCTCACTTGGTTGCCCCAGGATAGAGCGCTGTGGTTGTCAGCCTAGCTCACTGCAAGCTCAAATTCCTGAATTTAAGTAATCCTTTTGCCTCAGCCTTCCAAGTAGCTGGGACTACAGACAACCACAACGCCTGGCTAATTTTTCTATTTTGGGCAGAAACTGGGTCTCTCTCTTACTCAGGCTGGTCTTGAACTCCTTGAGCTCAAGGAATCTTCCCTCCTCAACTTCCCAGAATGCTAGGATTATAAGCATGAGCCACCTTGCCTCGCCAACTTGTTTGAATGATTATTTTTATTGTTGAAGATTAAACAGTTGATGTCAGCAAATTTTTTGTTGGGCACAAACTTGATTAGAGCACATTATATACCACATATATGATGAATAAAGGTGTTAACCAAATATGCGAATAATAAAGGATGTCATGTAAGTAGAAATTGTATGTATGTCTAGCACTTAAAAACTTTTAAAGTGGCTTATAAAAATGATTTTTGCCATATACGAAAAATCCATTTTGGAGTTATGGTCTGTACCTTGATT